AGGCTGCATACTGTAAATAATCACTATGATTAAACTGCATGATTTTACCTAACTTGCTAATGCCTGGTTTTCAAAAGAGCAGCCTGGATTCACCCAGGTGCTGAGCTTTTTTGAAAATATGGAGCCCGTTTTGTCACTGAGTCTGTGCCCACTCTGCCAAAATCATATTACCACTCCTGAATATAAGGGAAAAATTGAAACTCTGAATTTGTCCCTGATACTTCTTTCCCCAAATATTGAAGCAGATGCATTTTGCTGATACAGAGTTTTTGAAAAGTAATCTCAGCTTGCATGCAAAAGCACTTGGAGGAGTCAACATGAACATTTATACACCTCCATGATCTTCAATTGAAACTGTTCTGTCTGACTTAGCTGACCAGCCGCAATGGAACAGCTGCTCCAGCCAGTGATTTTTTATCAGAATTTTATGTCCAGAGCAGATAAACTCAGTGAACAGCTCTGAATAATGACTACACTTCCAGCAAGTCTGTTTTCTGTCATTGCAGAGTCATGACTTGTACATATTCATCCTTACACAACTCTGTGAGATGTGACAGTGCCAAGGAGTTGCATCTGGTATATACGAAAGAAGTTAAAGAGGTGACTTGATCGCAGCCTTTAAGTACAAGGAGAGAGATTTCTGATAATAGAAGGCTCATTAATCTAACAGACAGTGGCCATGGTGAGATCCAGTGGCTGAAGTTAAATAGCTAGAAGGGTATCTAGTCTTACTTAGATTGGAAATAAAATTTCAACAATGTAATAATGAAGTATTGGAACGGCTTACCTAGGATTGTAGTGGAGGATCTGTTACTGGAAGTGCTTGAATTGGTGCTGGGTGTCTTGCTAACAGCATACAATGACTTAGGTGGCTAGGCTCAGAGGAATGAGGTGGTCTGTTTCCTCGCTGTTCTGTTTGCTGGCTGGTTCAGGGTCTTGGCTCTCCTCATGTGGAAACCACCTCTAAGTTTGCAGCGAGACTTTTCAACACAACCGACAGAGTGCTATGAACCTGATTCTGGCTGTTCATTACAACTCTGCTTCTCAATGAGTGTTGGTATTTGAAGCAACAGAGAAGCCTAGAGCCAAGATCCTGGGGCAAGGAAAACTGCGACCTGGAACAGAGTGGCCAGAAGCTGGAGGTACCCTGATAAAACTGAGCTCTGCCCTCTTTCTTGCCATTAGGAAGACAAAGAAACTGTCACCTCTAGGTCATTGCTACCTGCTTCATGTAAGCTGTTTTCCAAGCACTTTTCTGAGCTTTCTGTTTTGCTCCCTCAGGGGGATTCCTACAGCATTTCCCCAGGGAACTTCCCTCTGGATCTTGTGCCTGATACGCGTTCCTCACCTGCTGGGAAATGTAACATACCCAACCTGAAAGTGCACATACAGATAGACTCGTGAGGCTCAATGTTTGAGGCCTCAGTTCCATCATATCCTGTTGTCAGAAGCTTAATGAGCTGTGTTATTAAACGGCTCCACACTGTTCCCTTGTGCTGCTGACAAACATGGCCAGTGGGCAAAGAGCAGCTGAACTGCCCGGTTGTATTGATTTCTCCACTGCTCACAAGTTCTGGATGGCATTGCTGACGGAGTTAGCACGTTGGTGACTGCACAGAGCCTCTTCCCACGTAGGGAAGGGAAATGTGACCCCCAGCAGTTGTTACATCCTACAAATTGAGGAAAAGAAGGCGCTCGGCACATTTGTCTCAGGAGAGAATGTACCTTGTGTGTTTTGAACCCAGACTCAGGGCGTTGTACAGGTGGGGAGTTTCTCTCAAGAAACTTCCCCTGCTCTTGTTTTGCCAGATTTGAGGCTGAGTTATCACTGTGATTTCTGCTGTGACAGGACATGCAATCCCAAAGGGCATGTTCCTGCTGTATTACATGCTGAGACACGCTGTCAGTTCCTCGGAGAGCTTGCAGTTGAGGTAGGCAAGTTAGACAGTGGGAAGTGGAGAATCAGAGGCATACAGTTGTCCATTTTATCTCGCCTTGGTTGGCTGGAGGGTGCTTATTCCATCTCTGTTACACATTATATTCAGTCCCAGTTCATTACTTGCTCATGTCTGTATCTCTGGGCCTGCTGTGAGGGAGTGCCTGGGATCCCAAGGCTGTGTGGATGTAACACCCAAGCAAGTACCTGCCTGTTGCAGCCCTCCTGCCCTTGCCCCAAGAAATGCACGTGTCGAGTCCTGCTCAGAGGACAGAAGGTCAGCACTCAGAAACAAGAAAGTTTTGCTTTCCTGGGAGAAAGTTTGCCTCACTGCCGAGCAGCAAGTTCTGAAAACTCCCATTCCTGCTGGCTCAGAGGGAAGGAGGCAGTGTCCAACTATTTATCCCTCCTAAGGGCAGTATTGATTTAGGAGAAAGGAACAGGGAAATAGCAGTGGTATGAGGCACCTGCAATGCAATTTGGGTGATATAAAACTAACAACAGGCACATCCTGAGTGACAGAATGAGGCTGGGCTGTGTCTGGAGTGTGGTAGGCTGCTGCCTGAGGTTCATGTGCCTCCCTTGCCTCGTAGTGGGGTGTGCTGCAGGGAGCTGGAGCACCAGCAAGGGGGTGACAGGGCTGTGAAGGAAATAAATGTACCTGCACAGAGTGCTGCCCCCGGGAATGGCTCGCTATTAATAACAGTAATAACATATGCCAGGATGGGGAAGAAGCATCTTTAGTAAAGTGCTGATCACTGCCACTATCTGGGGCAGAAACAAATTGAAAAAAAAAAACACTTTCATTATTTTATAATGCACAGTAATGCCACTTTTGTAGTTTTTATTATTTCTCCACATTTGAATTTTGTCTGTAGGGGGGCTTTCTGTTTTAAGTAGTCCATGCTGCAGATTGGCAGGTAAATTGTGGGGTGACATTAAGGAGAGCTCTCAGCAGCCCCAGCCAGCCGTAACTACTGTAGTCAGAACAGAAAGGCTCCAGAAGCGAGATGCTCTGGAGTCTTATCCACTGAGACATGTCACAGTCAGCTTGTCCTCCCTGTGCCCCAGATCCACTGCAAATGGAACAATTTGGAATGCAGCCCAAATCCCACCGGAGCAATTGGGATGCAGATGGCAAGGAAAGCTGAAGGTGATTTCCTCCTCTTCTGCCATACTAAATAGTAAAGGTGCAAAGAGAACTTGCTGTACACAAAAGGAGAAAAGGTAGGGGAAGAGAGAGATATGGAATTCAGACAGCTCCTGGACCAAAGTCCCTGCTGAAAGGGAGCTGCTTTCAAGTTCAGGGGATGTCCTTCCATGGGATTAAAGCCAGTGTGGATGCCATGCACAGGATGAAAGCCTGTGTAGCACCCAGGCAATGACAGAGATCGCCCAAGCAGAGATCAGAGGATGTTCTGAAGGAGTTAACCTGAGCAATATCTAAGTACAGAAGTTCCAATAGCTTCCCTTTTATTAAGGAAAGTGTTTCTGTTGTTCTCATAAACTATACTTGGCAAAGCCTCCTTAGTACGGAATCATTTATTTTTCCACTGAGAAAGATGGCTGTGAGTGTAGGGTCATTACGGAGAGAGTTGCAGTGTGCTTGTTTGCATTGATTGAATGAGAGTGTTTCATGCTGTTCGCTTATTCAGTGAGTTTCTTTAAGGGTGAGTAATCCCCAGTCCCTGGGGGGGTTCCCTCCAGGCAGACACTGCAGGATCCAGGCTGGCTTCCAGGGCCCCAGTCCCAGCACACGCCGGACAGGGGAGGTTGGTCAGAGCTGCAGGGATGCTCCTCAAACTCTGCTAGTGCCATAGCTTGCAGGAGTCAGTGCCTGCCAGGGAAATCATGGTACGGGGGGGCTTTATGCCAGTCGTTTCTGTGAGTGGGGTGCTTCTGGGCAGCCTGGGCATATCAAACTGAGGCCCCAGACAGAGCAGGCAGGAAGAGCAGATGCTCTGTCAGCACAGCGAGCCACATAGCTTGCCTAATAATCCTAAACGTGTCACAGCACCCTTTGCCGTGGCACTTTGGCTCTGCCATGTGTGCACAGTGCCCCTAATAGCATGGCACGTGTGTCAGGTGTCAAAGAAAATGTACGGCAAGTTCTTGGGGTTCAGCTCTCTGCACGTTCCCCAGACAGCAGCAGAAATGGCTGTGCTGTTCCTGCTGTGCTTTCTCCTACTCTGCTGGGCACCCCCACCCAACTGAAAGGCTCTCACCTGGGTTATCCGTGAGGCTGCATGGAAGTAGCAGCAAAAGACAAACAAGAGAGAGTTTTGCCTTTCTCCCGAGGCTGAGAAACAAGGTTCAGTGTGTGCTTTTCTCTCTTTCATTTTTCTACTCTTTCTTTTAATGAGATGCACAAAGAAAGGAGGAAAAGCAAATTTAATTATAAAGCTGTGTCTTCCTCCCTTCTCTGCCTTTCCGGCCTGGGAAGTGCAATCATCTCCTCTTTGATGCAAGAATGAATTCAGCAGCATGCATTGTTAAATTATTATTTATTTAAAAAGAAAGGAAATTACTTTCGGTTCAGTGCCAGTTTCTAGCCCAGTGAGGAGAACAGCAAAGGAAGGAAATAAAGCAGCAGCACTTCTGGGGGCAGCAGTGTGTACATGTATACGCACACAGCTCATAGAGGAGTCAGGGCAACTGCACTGGAGGAGTGCCTGTTACATGGACGTGTATCCCCTCTGGCTAGCACGCAGATGCTATGAAAGCAGAGAAAGCAGTGTGTTGTTTAACCCTCTCAAATCCCCATTATGTGCTCAGTTGTACCATTATGGCACCTAGAAAGTAACCCACTGTATTGAATGGTAAGGCTCCAGTTTGCAGCCTTAGAGGGAGAGGCAGAGAGCAGCACAGCAATATATTCAGAGCCAGGCTGTGGCTCAGGGAAGGAGCCAGGCTCCTCCAGTAGCCACAGCCCATCATAGCAGCAGGCTGTGCATGCTTTCCATATTTAAAAATAAGCTGAGCACTGGGTGTGCTCTCGGGAACAGGAGCAACCTCCTTTGTACATGTATATTTTTGCCCCTTGTGTAGCACAGAGGAATCCTGGCTCGCTGGCTGCTGCTCCTGCTGCTTCTGCAGTGTGGATAGCAGGAAATTCAGCAGAGCAGGACCGTTCTCATTTGTCAGAACATCCCGTTTCACTGCAAGCATGGGTCTGAGGGAAGGGTAAGTGCCACTGCTGTGTTTCTCTTGACCCATCATTTCCTTTTTCTGGTTATGAGCCAGCCATACCCCTGTCCTTGCCGTGCGCTGTTATGAGGGAGGATGAGGCCATACAGGCTTCACTGCCTCCGTCTTACTCTGTTTCTCTGAGCTGTGAGCAGCCTGGGACTTTGTGCAAGGCCTTAATGAGGCCCAAGCAAAGGTTGACTTAAAAAATAACAAAATCCTTTATGATCTGTGCTACAGATGGAGCAACAAATGGATAATAAAAGGGCTGGAGACTGGAGGCAAATCCTCCCCTTAGATTAAGGGGAATTAAGTCCTTTGGGGGATGTGTAATGTATGAGGCTTCATTATTCTTCTTGGGGGAAGCAGCTTATGATCCCTTGGTCAGAGAGATAAAAGGATCATAAACTCAAATGGCTCCACATAGTCCGTGTGACTCAGACGGCACCGGAGAATCTGCTGGAGGTAAGCTAGATACAGCTCAGCCTGTCTTGTGCTGTAAAAGCAGCTCCTGTGACACTGGAAATCACACCCCCAGACTTTAATGTCTCCTTAGGGCGTGTGGGTACACGCTGTCTGTGGGATGGTTGAACCAGGGAGAGGCTCTTCCAGAGGCAAACAAAGGACCCCAGAGGAGACAAGTTCAGCCTTGAGGCCCCCCACATAAGAAGGGCATGGACCTGTTGGAGTGAGCCCAGAGGAGGCCATGAAGATGATCAGAGGCTGGAGCAACTCTGCTGTCAAGGCAGGCTGAGAGTTGGGGTTGTTCAGCCTGGAGCAGAGGCTTACAGCAGCCTTCCAGTACCTAAAGGGGGCCTACAAGAAAGATGGAGAGGGACTTTTTACAAGGGCGTGTAGTGATAGGACAAGGGGTAATAGCTTTTAACTGAAAGAGGGTAGATTTAGATTAGTTGCAAGGAAGAAATTCTTCACTATGAGGGCGGCGAGGCCCTGGCCCAGGCCGCCCAGAGAAGCTGTGCATGCCCCAGCCCTGGAGGTGCTCAAGGCCAGGCTGGATGGGGCTTTGGGCAACCTGGGCTGGTGCGAGGTGTCCCTGCCCATGGCAGGGGGCTTGGACTAGATGATCTTTAAGGTCCCTTCCAATCTAAACCATTCTAGGATTCCAAGTACTGGAAACAAACCCGGGTCAGAAGTCTCCAATGCTTCCTTCACAGTCCCAGGTACTTCCTCTTCTCCAGTCCAAGCATCCTGCCCTCAGCCTCCTGGGCAATCTTTGTCACTGCTCCACTTCATGCCCACCTCTGCTTTCCTCCCGTGACCTTTCCTCCCCCTGACCCATGCCCCCATCTCTCTTATACCTACTCCTGTCCGAGCCTAATCCACATTGTGACGCCCAAATGCATTTGTTGCCCCTACTCCCAGCTCCTGAATCCTTTTGATCATTTGATTTATTATTTTTTTGGCAGATTTTCAGCTGATTTATAGCGTTCTGAGAGGTCCCAACACATCTTCTATCTTTCCTCAGCTTTGGGAACACTTGCTTAACCTGTAATCAGCATGACTCAAAACAACATCAGTGTCTGTCTCTGGAGCAAAAAGAAATAATGCGCTTTGTTCTGCTGCTTCCTATTCAAAGGTAAATTGCTTTGCTTTTCTCCAAGAGCAGATGCTGACTTCTTTTCTTTACCGCTCTCCCTAATGTCTAACCGATTTGGGAGAAATCACATTCCCTGGTTTTCTTACGGAGTTTGGGGATAAAGAGAAGCATTTTTACTGGAGAACTTGACATATCTCTTACTGGTGAGTTGTAGATCAAAGAAAGACAATGTACCCTCTTGCACTGCTCATGGCACCACACAGGGGAGCGTGAATCTCTGTGCGTCTCTGCGCTTGCTTTCTGTATTCCTACCATGCTGATAGATGGCACGCAGTTACACCTCTGTGTGTGCCCCTGTCCTCTGTATGTGCCGAGCTGTTGTACACACATTTTTCTGGACTTGGGGGAATCTGGGGGCCTTGTCTAAGTATCCTGTATGTTACTGTGACTTCATACGTGCAGATGTCCTTGTGGGTCTCGGGTCACACGTGTGGCTGCACTTCAGGGCAGCAGGTTGGCTCCTGCTGAGGAGTCATGGTTAGGTTACAGTACAAACCCCACTGCCATAGAGGTTGGACTCGATGATCTTGAGGTCTCTTCCAACCTAGACAATTCTGTGATACAGTGAAATGCTGCAGCTTGCTTTTGATTTCTTCAAGTACAGGGCATCATCAGTGGCATCTCCCCAGCAATAAAATGCCTTTGCCATCAAAACCATCCAGTTGTCATACCTGGAAATGATTAATAACTACCACGAAGCTCTGTAACTAGCAAATGGGAAAGCAATCTCTGGTTACTGCTCATATGGCTGGCACCAGAGCACCCTGCCCAGCTGTGTGAAACGTCATTTGTGGCTCTAAAGCAGGTCCACCTGAGTCACTACAAACACCAAAATATTTGTTGTATCTGTAATCTTGTTTTTCTTCTGTAGCTTTGAAGTTCTGAGAAAAGCCAGGTGGATTTTCCACTCTTGGCTCACTCTGTCTCCTTTTTCCTTTGTTTCTCTTTCTGCCTCTGCAAAGATGTCACCATGATGAAGCTCTTGATAGATTCCTGGGTGACTCCCACCCGGTGGTGATGGATTGCTGCTCTGTGCTGCACGCTCCAGCTGTCTCTGCAGTTCAGTCTGCTGGATTGACAGGGCCCATAAATCACTCTGGAAGGCAAAGTGCTCTGAGAGCTCTGTCCCCATCTGTGATGCGCTGATGGGACATAGCCTCACAGACCCCACGTGCATGTGGGCCTGGCAGAATGGAGTGGCTCTGGATCTCAGAGCTGGCTGCTAGGTGCTCATGCGCCCCTTTTTGGGTTCGAGGAGGCTGGGTGAGAAGGGCTGGGAACATGTTGTGTCTCCTATTGCTGTTTGCTTTCTCTGCAATGCAGTTTTTCACAGAACTGGAAAAGGAAGGAGCTATCACATGGAGGAACATGTAGGGGAGAACTGGAACTGGAACAGTGGATGATAAGGGGCAGGGGGCATGTGCCATGCAGGCAGCTGCAGAGCCTCCTCACTAGTAGGACCAGAAGTTATGGAGAAAAAGCAGGGGAAGGGAAGTGTCTGGATAGTGCTGCTGTCTTTTGGTTGGTCCCCACTTGCCTTTTTGGGGGTGGAGTAGAAGGAGCTGAAGGTCACAGTGAATAAAGAGCCTTGGGAGAAGAAGAAGGGAATCTCAGCATGACAAGCAAGTAAAGCTGCACGTTAGGCTATCCTGGGATGCAAGAGGCACTTGTTCTTTGCAGGCATCCAGGAATTTGCCAAAGTGTCCATGAGAGCCCGTGCAGCAGTAGTGCTCCATCCCCATGCTGCACATGCCTCCTGTCCACCACGGGTGTAGCAGAGGCAGCATCGATCATACCTGCAGGCACCCAAACCTCGGCTGTGCAGATCCTACAATTACATCAAGGAAAATCCCCAGTTTATTCACCCCTGGGTCTCATCAGGACAACGACTGCCTCACAAATCTTTGTAACCACCATACTAGCTGTAGCTTTGTGAATCTCCAGAGTGGTCCCAAAAATTGGGGGCTACCATTTTCCACAGGGTGGCAGCAACATGCTTCCATTTTGCTTGCCGAGCAATCCCACTTGGGTGCTTCTCTATCAAGGTTCTGGCTAAGATTAAACCTGAAAAGAGAGATGTTTCTAGGAAGGAGAGGGGGAAATTTGCATTTGCTCCTTGCAGACAGCAAACATCCACAGATGAAGCATCCTGACAACGTTAAGGGACAGCAGGCAGAGCTGGATGCAGGATGTGCCTGCTTCTTTCCAATGCAGCATGAACCTGCCTTCCAGATTAACCCCACTGCTTCGTTCCCCTGTCTCAGGAATTCCTCAGGGTGGACGAGAGAGAGATTTTGTTTCCCAGAGGTTGAAACTGTGAAATGACAGATGAAATTTTTATTATGATGATTTTTAGTTTTGTGTCTGGGTTTGCAACGATGGTGAAAATTCTCAACAAAAATACCTCATGAATATTCAATTACAGTGCCAGCAACACTTTGCAGTCATGGATTATTTATACATGAAATAACCAAAGCTTCATAAATAATAAAATAGCAGCAATCTCCGCTGTGTTTTATGTTCCCCATAGCCAGCACGGGGGCGGGGAGGATGTGTCTTTGTAGCACATTTACATGCTGTATCAGCCCCTTGCAGGCTGGGAGTAGCAAGGAGGACAGAAATAGCAGAACAAAGTGTGAAGGTAAAGGCACCAGAGGTGTGGATGTGCACAGCACAATATGTGCACGAGGAAATGTTTTATTTGCTGTGCTGGTGGGTGCATTTGATGGCAGAGCACAGCATGAGGCTGTGTGGGAGAGGGGCTGCAGCAAGGGGAGAAAACTTAGAGCCAGGGTGTGTTGTCTGGGGGCAAGAGCACTGGGCGCTTGGCTGCCTTTGGCTTGCTGTAGCATGACAGCAGTTATCTATATGCCCATAAATGTAAGGGATGTCCCATAAAGGACTGCAGTAATATCAGGGCATCTTGTTTAAGAAAGCAAGCCCTTGCTTCTCAGATTTTCCCCTAAAAGATCTGTGCTTGGTGGCTTCAGATCATTCAAAAAGCCCCATGCAGAGCTAATGGTCCCCTCCTGGGAGAGGCTCAGGTTGGCCTAAGTGGGCATGGGTAAAAGAACAGAGCCCCTGTAGCCACAGCAGCACCCTCTTCAAGTCCTCTCTCGCCTTTAAGCGTGCTTTAATGCCCAGCACAAATCTCTCTCCCTCCCATTTTCCAGCTGAAAGGCTGGCACATGCTATACAACTTGTTAGACAAGTGACCCAGGGGAAAGAAGCATGATTCTGGGCAATGTCGAACGGAGCTCTTCTCCAGCCCAACCCCACTGTTCAATCAATAATAAAACAGGATAAGACTTATTAGTTGTTTTCCTTAACACTAGACAGCGGTGTGAGCACCTGATCTTTACAGACTCCACCGCTTTCAGGAGAAAGGCTCTTCTGCCCAGGTGCCTTTGCTGGGTATTCAGCAACGAATTAATCCTATGGAGATGAACAGAGGGAACAAAGCCCTCCATTGCCCAGAGTTTTCCCTCCTTTCCTGAAGGTTTATGCTGATGTTCCTCTCTTTACCACTCCCGCTGGGAAGCACTAAATGCCAAATCACTAAAAATGTCGCTGGTTGCTCTGAGGGATGATTCATCACTCCGGTTTGGTGGCAGCATATTTATCCCCCCATGAGCCCACCCGGCAAGAGAAAAGAGATAAATTGCTGTCATCTCTTTTTATGGAACATATAATCAGGTGGTAACATGGAGAGTCGCCTCAGCTCAAAGTCATCCAGGATGAATTATTCATTCATTTAAAATGTGTTAAAACGAAAGGGAAATCTTCTTCCTGATGCAGTATCTCTTCCTGGCGTTGCTGCTGTTGGGCGTTGCTTGAGGAGTCCTGTTCTGATGCGTATCACGAAGCATGGGTGGTTCTGCACTGCTCCCAGGGAAGAAGACAAATGTCCCTGCTCATGGCTCAGGAACAGGATCTCAGGCTCACAGAATCACACAATGAGCGGCTCAAATGTTTCTCAGCATCCTCCTGAGAGCTGGTCAATGGGGCTTGGGGAACACCTCGGCCTTTTGGGGCTGGATCTTTGCACATGGGAGAATTTAAACTCCTGTCTGGGTCCTGACGGCAGGCTTCTCATTTTTATCCCCTAAGAAGATTTGTCCCATGAAACTTGTCCCTGTCACAAAGAAAACCTTCCTATAGTAAGCTCAAGGAGGCCATGGTTCTCAGAGTAAAAAGGCTGAGGTAATTTCTTCTGAAAAACTTTCAGAAGTAGCCATCTGACTATGACTGTGCCTCCGTCCTGCAGCAGCAGGGAGTCTGTGTTTTTAGAGATTGCCTTCTGGCTGCTTGCTAGTCCGTCTGTGAGGACCAGTGATTGTTTAAATGGGATACCTTGAGTTCTGATGCCCTTGGTTTGGATTCCTCAGCTGGAACAGGCCTTCTAATGAGCTTTACTCTTTCACTTGAGACTGTTTTTAGCATTATGTTCAAAAATGTGTGTTTTTTACTCACTGGAAAGTGGCATTTAATGAAAACTTTCCCAAAAAAAGTGTTGTTAATTGACAAATACAGACTTTTCATGATTTGGAGTATGACTATTATCTGTCTGACTATATGAAATATACCAGCTTTTTATATTTAACAAGACAGACATTTTTTTTCAGGTTAAAACTTGTTTTTGTTTGTCTTTGTATTGAAAAATATTGTGATGATTCTGTGAAAAGTTTTGAAAGAACTGAATATCAGCTCTTCCATTTCCCATCTCAGCTAAAAAGGAAGAAGAAAAATGCTCTTGATACAGAGCAAAATTTTCTGTACCCACTTTCTCCATGTAATCAATTTGATGTTGTTCCTATTCTAGAGGAATCATATTGGGAAGCAGAAGTTGCTGAGAAGGAGAAAGATTTGATACCCAACTCACTGGAAAAGGATGTGCAAAAGGACTTCTGGACATTCCAGTGGGTTTCAGGTAGGAGGTGCTACACATAGCACATGTTTCTGGGACTGCATGGTAATTTTTGTGCTGTGCCATGGGGAAAATATCAGTTGATTCCTTCCTGCATCCTAATTTGTCTGTGCAAAAGCATTAGAAAGCCCTTGTAACACCTAGTTCTACCACTGCTTTCCTGCCCTTCAAACCTGTCCTCTTGAGGATCCTTTTACCACGTTAATTAAAGCTCACACAAACACCACGACAGAAGAGGCTGTCAGAGTTCAGAACTGTGAGTGTGTGTCCATGCAATAACAAGACTGGCAGGATGTCTGAAGGGTCCTTGGCACAGTCAGCTGGAACATTTAGGTGTGAGCAGTAAACTATCTAAACTTGGATCCGTCAAGAATACTTGGAAACATCTCCCATCTTTCTTGATGCAGTCTTTGGTCATTGTCAGAAAGCCATAATTGTTTGATTTATTGTTGATTTGTTTTATGTCACCTGCCGGAACAGTTGCAAATTGTGTTTTTTTAGTAGAGAGAGAACATGTATTTAAATAATGAGTATTTTTTTTGCATGATCTCAGTGTGCATGAGGTAAAGAAACCCTTCACGAGGAGGGAATGATATGTTCTATCCCTGGTTTGTGAGCGGGGAAATTAAGACGTGAAAAACTATACAAGGTGCATGTAAGAAATCTATGTACAGTCCCCTGACATCAGAACTGCTGAAGTCATCCTTCCTTCTCCACATGCTGGAAATTAAGTAACCAGTTATTGATGAAAACTCTGTTTTAATGATCACTTCCTCCCTATACCTTTTTTTTTTTTTCTTGTTGGGGGGAGGGGAGGATACAGTGGACAGTGGGTAATTCTTTTTCATCTGATTTTTACTCATTTATGCTCACTTTAAATCCAATAACAACAACCACAAAAAAATTAAATTACTTCCTGCTGAGATTAAGGCCACGTGTCTTATCTCTCCTCTTTCCTAGAGATCTAGGGCAGTTCCCCTTTGCCATACAGGTAAATCAATTTACAAGGCATTTGTAAGATAATGGTGAATGAAGCATGAGCTTGTTATGTCCATGGAGAAATTAGTACTTGAACACTACTGAAAGAAGGAAGGACATAAAAATGAACAAAAAGAAATGAGAAAGGTTATAAACACATTAAGCTGGGCTTCCCTGCTTCAGTGTTTGGAGCTGTCTCAGCTATAAATTGTATTGATTATGAAACTTATTGGAGCTACCTGCTGCTATCAATTACTTTCCACTTACTGCTTTCTTTACCTGCTGGGCAGCCAGCAGCCTGACAGAACCGAAGCCCCAAGCCATCGTAACCTGGAGCTCACGAGAACTGTAAAACAGAAGAAACAGTTTTCCACTATTGCACAGGAAAGGAAAACAACCTGCATTTGGTGGGCTGTTTGTGGTGTCAGGAATTGGGATGGGAGAAGCCCGTGAGCCTATGGGATATGAGAATTCCTTCAAAATACTGTAGACTTCTGTGGCAGCCAGTTCTCAGCATTTAGTCCCTTGAAGGAGCTGCCAGTCCAGTCCAGTGCATTGTGCCTGGGGCTGGATACTGCCTTCAGACCAAGGTGTTGTAAGGTGATGAAGTAACTATGTGATAGGAATGAGGTGGAAAATTCCTAAAACAGCATAATTTTCCTGCTTTTCCATACAATGCTGCAGTGACTCCAGTAATTTGGGGGAAATCTGATCTAACACTATGCATTTTAAGGAGCCATTGTGGTAGAAAAAGGGGGAAAACAACAGAGCCATGAGATCATGAATGCCAGACACCCATCTACTGTTCTGGAGTCTCTTTGTAACTCCCTTTTATCCTCGGCGATGATTCTTCTGCAGCCTACAACTCTTGACCCTTCAGAATCTCTGATGATGTAGGAAAGGGTTGTTATTTTTACTGATTCTTTATAGAGGTCTATAAAAAAATTATAAACAATAAAGCAAAGTCTAGATCCTCTTTTCAGAATTCAGACCTCCAGAATTAGAGCAGCCCACAGGATTTTGTTGGCCAGAATCCAATAAAATGAACGGAAATGAACATCCAAGTTGTTGAAAAGGCTTTGAAAATCTCAGCCTAAGTCCTTTAAAGTCCATTTCCTTTCTCACTGCTGTGACTTCAGGTCAGCTTGGGCTCTTGACTTCACTAACTGCTTTAAAACTACCTTGAATTTCTCAGCTCTTTTATCCTGTGGGATTTTTCTTTCTCTGCCTTTCTTTCTTTTTCTTCTTCTGACCCTTCATAAATCTTTTTTTTTTTTAATTTTTCTTTTTTTTTTTTTCTTTTTCTTTTTTCTTTTTTATTTTTTTCCCTTCTTACACAAAAACAGCCAGACAGAGGTGCAGGGCATGGGCAATGTGAGGGTGTGCCCCATTCAGAAATATGCCCCTGGCGTGCCCTGCAACCAGATCACCTCAGGCTGTTGTTGGTTCTTGCTGAGCAAAACGAGGCTGAATGACAGCTGCTGAAAGAGCCCTGAAATCTGTAGGACAGTGTTGGGAACCTGTCAGCTCTGTCTGCATGAGGCCCTGAAGTGTAATGCTGTTTGCTTTGGTCCCAATGTTGCACAGTGATGGTTTATCAGCTGAGGAAGCAGTGAACGTGCTGAAACATTGCCCATTTCAGTGGTGTTTACTGTGAATGTTGCATTATTTCATCTTCTTTTTAAAACCCTGCAGATCTCAGAGGAACAAGATGCCACAGATGGTTTGTTTTGTTCAGAAGTCAATTCCTGTCTTTCACAGGGGCAGTGAAAAGCTTGGACATTTGACCCCGGTGCCACCTATGGTCAGAAGCCTTAAAGTGTGAGCCCTTATTGATGAAAGTGTCCTGTTTGATAAACCAATCTGGTGGGTTATAAAGTGACTTGGCTTTTGAAATCAAGAGCCTTCAGGAAGTTCTAAAACATGCTGGCTGTCAGCAGCCCATTTAGCTATGCATGTATGTATCTAGTGCTCTTGGGTGCCCAGCCACTGATACCTTAAAGATGCAGGAAGATCTGAGCACTTTTCAGAAATGAATCCCTTGAAGGCATTATGTCCGTACGATCCTAAGTTGTTAGTCCTGTTTGAAAACTCAGGCTTTGTGCTGACTGTACAGGTGCTAGTGAGATTTTGGGGGATGCTGGTGGTTAGCACAAACTGAGCTGGAAAATGTGGCATTATCCTTTGTGCCTTGACTGAAGCAGTGCCTCAGCAGGGTACATCTGCAGCGCACTGCTAGCAGGGCTGTGCAATTGCATTCTTGAGCTAGACGATAGAGAATTCAGGATATTTTTACTTTTAGGGCATTGTTTTTAATTTCCTGGGTCATGACCATGTTTCAGTATGGTGCAAAGGAACCTGCAGCCCATCTGAAGTCTTCCCCTATACTTTTAGCCAGATATGACGGCCTTTACTTTTTTCCTGGTCTTCTGTATCATGGACAGAGCTCTTGTGTTGCTTCCTACCCAAGAGACAGCTGCATTTTATTTATGTGAACAAAAAGAGTCTTTTTAATGTAAAAAGCTGAACATGACTATATATTGCAAAGATATTTAGCATGCCAAAAAAAGGGCAATCTTGTTCTAGGGTGGCAAGAATTTATGTTTCACTTGTTAGAGTGCAGTATGAACTCGTTATTTTGATAGTGTACATTTAAGTTATCTTTCTATTTAAATTTGTAACAAATTCACACCCAGATTGGGACATCTCGCAGTAACTGCTCAGCTTTACATCTTCGCATCTTGATAAGTCTTTGTGACAAAGGAGACTGAACTCAGATCTGCATGGTCCGAAATTAATCACTCTTCGTACTTGAGCTAGAGGAATTTGCTGAGGTCCTTAATGAGCAAGACACAGGAAAGGGCTGCAACACAGGTTAGCATCTCCGAGCCTATGCACTGGAGAGCAATGAAATCCTCGTGGAAGAATACACTGGCACATGCACTTGTCTTCTGCCAGTTCATTTGCCTATGCTGTATATCTCTCAACTGCCACATTAAAATTGTAATGCCTGTAACAGGTCCTGAAATTACAGTCATGAGCCACATTCCTTTGACCTTCTCTGTATTCTGCTCAGATTCGCTGCTTCTGCCAATTTAGCCAGCCAGAGAGTAAATAAATGCTTCCCACCTGGCAGGTGCAGAAAGGTTAGATTTGCATAAAGTGGCCAGTGTAAATTTCTCCTGTTTGTTGTCACCTCTTCTCTCCAACTGGGAATTCCAAGGCAGAGATAAATGTCAGCTGGAAATAGCACTTCAGTGTCAGCACTTAATCTCTTCCTGCTATTTCCCTGTAGCCACATTGTGCTGCTCTCTGCCACGTGGACCAGCCAATCACCTCCTACATGAGCGTCTCATTACTGCGCTCTTCTGTTAATGCTTTGCTTACAGTCTTGACTTTCCTCGTATGTTTTCTGTTTGTAAATTGAATTCTCCTCAACTGATAAGTCACTGTGCTGAAATGGTTGTGTAACACAGCCTGCTACTAATTTTATTCCCCAAATAGTTCAGCTTGTCTATGCTGTCTCTTCCTGAGCCTACGCGGATTAAGAATCACATAGATCCTCTCAATATGTTTGTCACACAGCAGACCGTACGTATGACTTACAGATCACTGTGAGCTCCCAGGCTAAGAATGCAGTTCTGCAAAGCTCTCAGCTGTTCCTGGGGTCACTGATTGCTGCTCACTTACCAACATTACTGGGAATCCAAGAGAATCCAAGAGTTCTGCATCTTGGGCACTAAAATTTCAGCAGTGCTATTCTGTAAATGCTTGTTTCTTGCTCAGGTAGTGTTGGCTAATGGGGATGCCACTGCCAAAAAGAAAAAGAATCGGATCCTCATGAGTGGATCCAATGTTTCAGATCTTTGAAACTTATTTAAGGGTCTGCTGCTTGTATACCCTCTACATATTATGCTATAATGGTTGAAAAGTCTTTACACCACAAGAGCAGGGACTCCCCAACTCCTGCTTCCCCACTTAATCTGCTTTTAACTCTCTCTGGCTTTTAGTAACACTTAGGAGGG